GCGTCTTTGTCTCCGCTGCTTTTCGCCGCGCTCCTCTGCCTTCTGTGGGCGCGCTCAGCTTCGCTGTGCGGCCATGGCGGCCTCGGGCCCTGGGCTTCCGCTGGCATCTAGAACTTGTTACCGCTGTACCCTAGACGGCAAGATTTGAATCCGAGAACCGCTTCGGTGGGTCGCCAAGAAATAGGCTTGTCATTGAACGCCTTTGCCACGAGATGAAGGCAGGAGTAGTGAAGTGAGAGCCCCAGATCTGAGTCGATCCCGACTTGACCCACTGTCGTAGCTTTTCTGAGGCAGAATTGTGTCCTGCACCGAGGACAGGGTCGGGTGGACTGTTTTGACCCTTCTTCGTGTAACTTCTTCAGTCGTTAATTGAGCTTCCTGACTTTACTTTGAAAAGCAAAAGTCCAATCGGAAATTACGGCTAGGGATTCATCTAAGATCTTCCAACCAGTCTGTCTCGACCTGGAGTGAAATTACACATGACTATGTCATCTTGAGAGATGCTTTTAATTTGTTTGATCTGGCATAGGCATAAAATTTACTAGCTTTTGAGTTTTTCACTGCTCCTTCCAAAAGTTTAGTGTAATTAATTGCAAAGTGGCGGGGGGGGGCTTTGTTTTGTACACTTACTTGAAAGATTGAGATCTGGAGGTTTGTGGAGGGAGTACGTATACTGAACTTTTCATATATAGGTGAAGTCCTTAACTCTAGTCAGTTAGAATGTGATTATCTTGAGAGGAAGGACCACATGTCTTTAATATCTGCATAAGGTAGACATTAGTACATACTGATTGACTGATACGTGAAAGTGAAAAAAATATTGGCAGCAGTCAGATTACAGGAATGGGTTTCATTAAATGACCCCTGTATATCTGAGTTAGTAAGAGACTAGGTTGGGAACAATTTGAGGTAATTTATAGTTAGTGACATTTGTGGCATTAGAATTCATGTATTACATAAATTTTATGGTGAATTATGAAACTACTTCCCTTAAATGCATATTGAATATACCAATAAACAAATACATTGTTAAACTAAATTTTCTGTTGCTTTTTTTTAATGTAGATGGAATCAAAACTGAACCTGCACTAAAGCAGTTTAGGTATTTCTTTTGACAAAAGCAAGTCTTTGTATTGTCAATCTCATATTAAAGCAGAATTCTGTTTTGGGCATATATGAGAACTCAGGTGAAAAATATAATTTTCATTTATTCTTCAACAGGTACACTGGTGTGTGTTTAGCACCTATTCTGTGCCTGGTATGTTCTTAGGCAGAATGTATGCAGCAAGGAACCAACTAGATAAGATCCCTGCCAGGAACCAAGCATGACAGCCTAAAAAATGTTTAGTTAATAGGTACAGTGAATTAACCATTCATATAATTCTATTAGCTCTGTAATGATAGTGAATTTATCAAATAACCCATTGACCCATCTATTATAAAGTCCTGCAGATTGAAGCTTTTGATGTTCTGTGACCTTTTACTAAGTAAATTGAGAGCTAAGGCAAATATTTCTTAATACCCCAAATAACTGAGCCTGATTTTTAAGTGTTCACATATAGTAAATATAATAAATACTACTACCAGATATCATTGTTTATTCAACTAATTTTTCCAATAAATATATATAGAAGGGCCAGAGATTTAGCTCAGTGGTTCTGCCACCTGATTCACAAGCGCAAGGACCTGAATTTGATCCCTGGCACCAAAAAACAAAAACAAATAAATATATATGGAGCACACGTTGAATGTTGGGCACTGTTGTAGGTGCAGTAGTGTTCCCCATAGTGTTTACATCTCATTTGCAGACAGCACACATACTGAACTGAAGATAGTATTGAGTGCTACAAAGAAAACCCAAAGAATAAGAAAGATGGGAGGCTTTTCTGAGGGAGATAATTCTGAGCAGAAACCTGATTGAAAGGTCTAGAAGTGTTTCCATTTAGGAAAACTGAAGAAGAACGTCTTGAAACAGGAATGAACAGAGCACATTGCAAGAACCACAAGATTTGTGTTTGAAGCCAGCAAAGTAAAGTGATGGATAGTGTATAGGAGGTGAGGTTGGTGAGATAAGAGAGTGCTATTGGGAGATTTTAAGCAGGAGATTGTCAACATCTTTTTGTTATTTTTTTGGAGGGGTCTTTGTTTTGGGGTATTTTTGTTTTTGCTTTGTTTTGTTTTTGGTGGTTACAACTTACTTTCATGGTTATTCCAACCTGGACATACTTTATATCATTCTTGTCCTCAGGCTAATGCTGTTTGTGTCTTTATGAACCATGAGTCTTGTTGCTTCCTTTGTCCTCCATTTTTTTTAACCTGTTTGTTTTGATTATTAGTGAATACCGAGTTGACTTGTCTTTTTTTAGGTTTATTTTGTTTTGTACTGGGGAACAACTTGGGACCTTGTGCTTGAGAGGCAGGTGGCGGAACCACTGAGCTAAGTACCCGGCCTGCTTTTTTTTAGTATTTTGTTTTTACAAGGAAAATATTTTTAAATGATACTTGTGAACAGGGGGTTCAGAAAGTTTTTATTGACTTCATAGTAGGATTTTCAACTTAGTATTATCATAGGTAAGAAAGATAAATCCATTAAAATCCATTAGCAACATCACTTTAACAAGAATAATCTAATTCTGATGTTGTACTTCTGTGCAGTGTTTGCATGTGAAAATAGCAGATTTGTTTCATTTTATTTTTATCAAATAAAATACATTATTACTGAGTGCTAGGTGATACATGCTCACTTATTTAAATGACCCCAAGACAGATTTTTAGTTTCCCAGTCCTAAATAAAGCCCTTAAGCCATCTTGACCCTCTTTTTTGTTATATATATATATATTTTTTCCCCCTTTTCACATATCAAAGAACAGCTATTTCATGTGGGCTGTTTTGTAATTTTTAAGTGAATTGCAACATGAGCATTTTACATAGTTTCATAAGTTAATAAATTTAAATATTCATGGTATTCCTAATTCAGTGTTATAGTGAGTTTTACTGGATTATCCTATCATCTAGATGCTTTTCCTTGCAGCTAGTTGATAATTCACAATATAGTATTGCTCCATAAAAAGAACTTTACTGTAACTGAAAGCATTCTCTGTTTGAATTTTTAAAAAATTTATCCTAGCTCTTTGCTGCTTGTGATTATTGCCTGATAAATTGAGAACTCTTAAATCCCTAGACAGGGTCAGAGGTTAAGTAGAAGAGAATGACTAGTTCATCATTCCCAGTCGTTTGTTAACTGTTCATTAGCGCACATCTAAACATTTAAATAACCATTTTCTCATACTGAGGAATTTTATTATATACTATCATATAGTTCCTGTAAGATTTGAGGGGAAGGGTGTTAATGATCAGGTAAAGTATGATGACTGTGTGGGTTTTATCTGTAATTATGTTCTCTGCTTGCTTTGCTTACGTTAAAAATATGAGAAATATGTCTTAGAAACATGCATATTTCTATTCCCTTAGATAATGGTCTAAATTTACTTCTTTGGGTCTGGAGGCTCTTAAAATATCATGTTCTTCATTATTTTTGCCCTTGCATTTTTCATTAATAGAAAAAAAATTACTTCTCTAATGGAGATAGTTAAGATTAGTTAATTGTCCAGACCCCCTTGAGAACAACTCAAGCAAAAGTCTTCTTTTTAGTAAACTGGTCTTTGACTAAATGTTTGACTAAACCATTCCTTAGTCTCCTTATCTTTGTAAGTTCTGGTGGTAGCAGGAGGGTATGGAGTTAGGGTTCCTTATGAGCTTTCTTGTCACTCACTGCCTTTGTTTGTGTACAAGGTGCAACATCTGCCATGGCTTTTGCATTTGTCTTAGTCGCTGCTTTACATAGTCTGTGTTTCGGTAGTGGTTTTATCTTTTTGATTAATAACTAAGTCATGGGTCACTTAACTATAAGTTTTATAGTTATTTTTCCCTTTGGATTTATATTAAATTTAGACGTTTTAGTTTAGTTATGTTTCTGTTAATCTTCACACCAGGTCTCTTCTGTGCTTTAGGTTGATTCTTCATCTCACTGAAACCATTAGGAAAAATCCTTGTGGTTAACAGCAGAGGCTTCAGAGTGTAACCTGTACTCGGGCCTAGAAATTATTTTAAATGGCGACTGATACGTCTCAAGGTGAACTCGTCCATCCTAAGGCACTCCCACTTATAGTAGGAGCTCAGCTGATCCACGCGGACAAGTTAGGTGAGGTAGGGGCTGATGCATTCTTGAAGCTCGCTCTTGGATCAACCCCTGACTTCAGGGCCTGCTGGGTTCTTCTTGGTACAAATTCCTTTCCCTACTTTGGGAAGACTAGGTTGTGAATCTGAAAAAAAAATCTAATCGATACAGAGTTCTTTTCACCTTCCCTTCCCCTCAAATCCCTGAGAAAATCTCCAACCTTTTAAATTTATTCCAAATTATGTGTTTCCATGTGAATCTCTATCTAAAATGAAGTATTTTGAAGACTATTTCTTTAAAAATATGTTTCACTTCAAAAAAAACTTATTAAAAATAATTTGCATCAGATCCTAGAGTCAACTTGAAGAATTCTCCTACATCTTTTAACACCCAGTTAGGCCCCTTGAGAGAGAGAGAGAAAAGAGAATTTTTTTGTTTGCATGTTTGATTATGACCATCTCTTTTCTTAGAAGGTAGAAGATAGCACCATGCCAATTCGCCGAGCTGTGAATTCTACCCGGGAAACTCCGCCCAAAAGCAAACTTGCTGAAGGGGAGGAAGAAAAGCCAGGTAAAACAGTGGTACAAAAGGCAAAAGCTTTTGCTTCAATTTGGAGTATTTCATAAATCCCTTTGAATATAATTATTCTTTTTTCATGGTTAAATGTTCTAGCTACTGGTATATCATGGCCAGATTATGTATGTAAAATAATTGCCTCTTATCTCTAAAGATTTTTTTGGAAGGTGAAAATAGAATGTTCTTGGAATTAAAAATAGAAAAATGGGGAAGATAGGAAAAGATTAACAGTGGGATACTGGACATAACAGTGTCATGAGAATGAAGGTTCTAAGGAATTAAGAAGGATTTGGGTCTGCAGGATGGAGAGTAGAAATCATCAGGAACCCTTAAGGGAAGCAAAAAGGTGACCAAAACATTATTTATAACTGGTACTGGTGGAGAAGAGATTGGCCAGTCAGGTAGGAGCATAATGAATGGAGAGTAATGCAGACCTATGAACTTGAAGTATTAGTGCTCCTTTATAGCATCTAACCACTTCTGCTCCTTTTCCCTCTTTTGTCTTGTGACCCTTTTCTTTCTGCTAGCATTTTCTTTTTTTCCCTTGTATGTTTGCTCAGGTTTTCTAGCACTCTGTGCTGTCCCTGTCATGGCTGTTAGAATCAAATGTTTGCTGACCAGCATAGATTAGAAATAGAAAATACATGCATCTTTTTACATTTAGCTGTTAGTGCACTAGAGGTTTGCACCTAGATTTTTGTCTCCAAATCCTTAGGATGAGTGCTGTATGCCATTTACCTTGGCCTAATGCAGTTAGGGAATGTGAAAATTAAAATATTAAAAAGTAATGAGTGGTGATGAATTGCTTTTCACTGGGATCACTAAACACCATCTTTCAGAATATATGACAAGAGGATTTAGATGTACATTAGAAGAATCAACCAAAAATTTATAAAGTAACTATTATTTCCTAAGTTGTATACTTGTTTAATCTTCTGTATATCTCATTATTTTGTAAGTAGAAATAATTAGACATCAGCCGGGTATGGTGGCACACGCCTGTAATCCCAGCATTTAGGAGGCTGAGGCAGGAGGATTGCTGTGAGTTCGAGACCAGCCTGGGCTACCCAGTGAGTTCCAGGTCAGTCTGAACTACATAGTGAGACTGTCTCAAAAATAAAAATAAACAAACAAAAAAAATTAGACATCACTCATTTTAAATTTTGTAAATTCTACATTTCACACAGGCAGACAGTGATTTAATAAGTTGGAAACACTATCTTGTATATATAATGGTCTCTGTTCAGTGACAATCTTTATTAAGCCATAACTCTAAAGCAACTATAGAGCCTGGGTGTGGTGGCACACACTTTTAATCCCAGCGCTTGGGAAGCTGAGGCAGGAGGATCACACTGAGTTCGAGGCCAGTATGAACTATGTATCGAGACACTATCTCAAAAACAAACAAACAAACAAACAAATAAAGATAAAGCAGATACAGGTGTACCTCACAGATAATTGTTTCAGTTCAAGATTACTGCACTAAACCAAGTGTCATGATAAAGCATTTCCCAGTGCATATAGAAGTTTCACTGACACTATACCATAGTATGTTAAGTGTGTGGCAGACTTATATCTAAGAAAGTACATGCCTTAATTAAAAAGTCTGTTGCTGAAAACACTAATAATCCTCCAGACCTTTAGTGTTAATTGCCGAATAGGGTGGTGGTTGGTGAAGGTTGGAATGGTTGTGTCAATATCTTATACTAACTCAATGAAATTTGCCATATCAGGTGACTCTTCCTTTCAGAGAAAAATTTTCTATGGCATGATACTGTCTAATAGCCTTTTATCCACGATAGAACTTTTTTCAGAGTTGAATTTAATCTTCCTAATTCCTGCCAGCGTCTTATCAACTGCATTTGTTTTTGGGGTACTGGGGATCGAAACTGTGGCCTTGGCGTTGAGTTACAACCCTACCTCATTTTTGTAAAACTTATTTTGAGACATGGTCTCAGTAAGTCACTAAGTCACCCACCCAGGCTGGAGTCAAAATTGCAAGCCTTTTGTCTCATCCTCCCAGAGTGTTGGGATCACAGGTGTGCACTACAGCTCCCAGCTCAATTAAGTAAGTTTACATAAGTCAGATTCTTTTTTCACTTCAACAATGTTCATAGCATCTTCACTAGGCATAGATACTGCTTCTTTGCTCCTCTGAGAGAAGCAGCTCTTCATCCATTCAGATTTTATCATGAGATGCCAGCAGATTAGCTATATCTTTACACTCCACTTGTGAATTTAGTTGTCTTGCTATTTCTGCTATACATCTGCATTTAATTTCTCCATTCAAGTTTTGACACTTCAACAATGTTCATAGCATCTTCACTAGGCATAGATACTGCTTCTTTGCTCCTCTGAGAGAAGCAGCTCTTCATCCATTCAGATTTTATCATGAGATGCCAGCAGATTAGCTATATCTTTACACTCCACTTGTGAATTTAGTTGTCTTGCTATTTCTGCTATACATCTGCATTTAATTTCTCCATTCAAGTTTTGAACCCTCCAAAAGCATCTATGAGGTTGGAATCAACTTCTTCCAAGCTCCTGTTTGTTTGGTTTTGGATTGAATTTGGGTCCTTGCTCTTGCGAGGCAGGCGGCAGAACCACTGAGCTAAATCCCTGGCCCCCAACCTCCTGTTAATTTTGATATTTTGCCTTGTCCTGTGAATCATGAATGTTCTTATTGACCTCTAGAGTGTTGAATCTATTTAAAAAGGATTTCAGTTTATTCTGCCCTTATCTGTTAGAGGAATCACTATCAGTGGCAGCTATAGCCACACCAAAAAAATTTATTTTGAGACAGGATTTTACTATGTAGTTCAGGCTGGCCTCAAACTTGGGATCCTTCTGCCTCAAGCTGTACTGGGATTACAGATGTGTACCCTATTCCCAGCTACAAAATGCATTTCTTAAATAATAAAACATAAAAGTTGAAATTAATCCTTGATCCATGAATTGCAGCATAGATGTTGTGTTAGTAGGCATATAAATGTTAATCTCATATGACTCCACCAGAGCTCTAAGGTAACCAGACGTATTTGTCAGTGAGCAGTAATGTTTTGAAAACAGTCTTTTCTGAGCAATAAGTCTGAACAGAGAACTTAAATATTTAGTAAGCCATGTTGGAAACAGATGTGTTCTCATCTAAGCTTTGTTCCACTGATAGAGCCCAAGACTAGATTTGGTGTAATTCTTAGGAACAATAGGATTTTTAGAATGGTAAATGAACATTGGCTTTGATTTAAAGTCACCAACTAGCTATATTAGCCCCTGATAAGAGTCAGGTGTACTTTGAAGGTAGACATCGACTTCTTTTGCTATGAAAGTCCTAAATGGCATCTTCTAATAATATAAAGTTCTTTTATCCACATAGAAAAATGTATTTTCAGATTATCTTCATCAGTTATTTTAGCTGGTATTCTGAATAACTTGCTGCAGCTTCTGCACCTTGGCTGTTTGCCCCTGTAGTTTCATTTAATAGAGTAGGCTTATTTCTTTAAATCTCATGAACTAACCTCTGCTAGTTTCATGTTTGCTTTTAAAGCTATTTTCTCCCAGCCCTCATAGTTCAAGAGTTAGGGCTTTGCTCTGAATTAGGTCTTTGCTTATGAGACTCTTTTGGCTGGTTTGATCTTCTATCCAGACCACTAAAACCTTCTATATATCAACAATATGACTGTTTCATTTTCTCATTCATATACATTATTTACTAGGGTAGCAATTATAATTCCCTTTAAGAACTTTTCCTTTGCATCCATGACTTGGTCACTATTTCTCACAAGAGGCCTGCCTTTTGTCCTGTCTCAGCTTTTAACATGCCTTTCTCACTTAGTTTAATCATTTCTAGCTTTGGAGTTAAAATAAGAAAAATGCAAGCTGGGACTTAATATGGTGTGTGCCTGTAATTCCAGCACACTGAGAGGCTGAGGCATGAGTATTGCAAGTTCAAGCCTGGCCTGGGCAATTTTGTGATTTAGCAGGACTTTATCTAAGAAATTCAGAAAAGGAGCTGGGGATGTAGCTCAATGCAACGGCCTTGGATTAATCCCCAGTACTCCCCAGAAAAGGTAGTGCTGGTGGGAGTTGCAGCTCTTCATTTCATTTGAACACTTACAGGCCATTGTAGGATTATTTGTTGGCTTAATTTCAATATTATCATGTCTCACGGAGCAGGGAATCCTGAGGAGGGGGTAAAACAGAAACAATTGTTCAGTGGAGCAACCAAAACATATATTTATCAATTAAGTTTGCTGTCTTACATGGACACAATTCTGTGTCACCCAAAAAAGGGAACAATAGTGATAACAAAGGTCACTGATTACAGATCATCATAACTAATTTAAAAGTTTGAAAGCACATGATGTTGGAAAAAGTGGTACAAGCAGACTTATTTAATGTAAGTCTGTCATAAGCTTTCAATTTATTTTTTTTTAAAAAGCTGCAGAGGGGCCGGGGATTTAGCTAAGCAGTTCAGTGGCCTGCCTTGCAAGCGCAAGGACCCGAGTTCAATCTCTGATACCAAAAAAAAAAAAAAAAAAAAAAAACTGCAGCGCACAATTAAATGAGATATGCCTTTTATTTTCTTTTGTTTTTCATCAGTTGTTTCTTTGGTGCTGGGGATTGAATCCAGAGCCTTGTGCATTCAGAATAATGCAAAATTTATAGCTTGCACTATTATAATTATAAGAGGTTCTTGGCTTTTTAAAAAAATAAGGCAATACATAAATATAAGATTAAGTAATTGTAAATTTGGGGGTTTTTTTTGTACTAGGGATCGAACTTGGGACCTTGTGCTTGTGAGGCAGGCAATGGAACCACTAAGCTAAATCCCTGGCCCAATTGTAAATTCTTAATGTTTATAGCCAGTTAGGTCAAATTGTTGGGGTGAGGGTTTAGTTCATGATAGTGCAAGATACATGATGACCAAAAATACACCTTACTGTGGGAAACTTAAATGAGTTATTCTCTATCCCAGAATATAGTATACTATTTTATACTGAAGTTCTACCCTTAGTACTTTGTGATCCTAAGCATATGGGAAACAATTCTACAAGTGTCAGAATAGGCCAAAGGAGGGCAGAAATAATTCATTTAGTATTAAGTGCTGGCCTACAGGCTTCCCCTAAAACATTTTATAATCCTTGTAACTGTGAGGTAAGGATACTGAGACTTGGAGATAGCAGAAGACTTTCCATAAGATCACTGAGCTGGAAAATTATAGACTGAACTGGAATTGAGGTGTATCTAACTCTGAAAATCTTTTGAAGAGATTTGGGAAGTGTACCAAATTAATAAAGTCGAGTCAATTGAAGAACATTAATCTCAGATAGGATTTGTAATTGAAGTTGACTGCTCTGAAATTTATGTTTTGATTTGTTGAGAAATGAGGAATACCTTTATAACTTTACAATCTTATTTTTGCAGTTTGATAGAAGTGGCATTCTTTCATTCTCTTTTATGTAAAAGCCACAAACATAATCTTTTTTTTCTTTGCCTGATTTTTGCCACTGGAGTCCTTTTCTTTGAAATCTCTGCATAAGCAATGTAAGCAGTTCTGTGTTTTGTAGTAGCTTTTCAGAGACTTGCTGTGAAGAAAAGGCAGAAACTGCAGACATTAGTAGTATATTCCCATCTTGTCCCAATCAGTTGTTTCACCTGGAAGTACATGCTAATTTTTAAAGATTTTCTAGTTACAAATGGCTAGCTTTTTAATTATGAGATTACTACTGCAGAATAGACTACTCCAGATTTAGTGTAAATGTGTATTTTCCGGGTTATCTCTTTTTCTCTTGTGTGGTCTGGATAAATATTTGAACAGATAGCTTGAGTCACATAAAGAAAGAGGTTGAGGGCTGGGGAGTTAGCTCATTGGCACCATGCCTGCCTCGCAAGCAAAAGGTCCTGAGTTCGATCCCTGGTACCACAAAAGAAAGAAGGTTCAGTGTATAGCATAGTGATAGAGCAATGTTTAGCATGTGTAAGTCCCTGGGTTCAATCTTCAGCACACCCCCTTTCACACACACAAACACAAAATTAAAAAAAGACTTAAAAAACTATACTCATAGTTGTTTTCACTTTAGAATTCACCTGTTAATTAGAATGTTCGAGGGGCTGGGAATTTAACTCATTGGCATAGCACCTCCCTGGCAAGTGCGAGGTCCTGAGTTTGAATCCCCAGTACCAAAAAAAAGAATGTTTGGCTGGGTCTGTTTAATACAATAAGCCTTACATTTTTATTGATTTGGACTACAATGTATGTATATGTGATACAGTTCTGCTCACCTTATTTTTTAGAACCAGATGGAAGTTCAGAGGAATCTATCTCCACTGTAGAAGAACAAGAGAATGAAACCCCACCTGCTACATCTAGTGAAGCAGAACAGCCCAAGGGAGAACCTGAGACTGAAGAGAAGGAAGAAAATAAACCTTCTGAGGAAACCAAAAAGGAGTAAGGCGTTACACCTTCTGGCTGTTTCTAATTGAAGACCAAGTAAAAGTAAAAGGGATGTAGATCAGATTGAGCTGAAGTATTACAGCATTGGTTTACACTAGGTATTTGATAGTTGGGTTTACTTTTTAGAATTATCATTTGAAATAGTTTTATGCTTGTGTATGGGCTATTGGCATTTGTGGTATTTAGCAGAATAGTGATTTGGGTAATCCAAAAGACTTGACTGTGGAGTGTGCTTTTTTTTTTTTTTGGTATTGGGGATTGAACTCAGGACTTTGCGCTTACGAGGCAAGTGGCGAAACCACTGAGCTAAATCCCCAGCCCTGGAGTGTGCTTTTATGCTTACAATTCATTGTCTGAATATATGGTATTTTAAGCATTGACAAAATCTAGTAAGAAATGAAACACAAGAATCTGACCTGGAGCTAGCTGTGGTGGGGCACACCCATTATCCCAGCACTTGTGAGGTTGAGGCAGGAGGATCATCATGAGTTTGAAGCCAGCCTGGACTACATAGTGAGCTAAAGGCCAGTCTGCACCCCATAGTGAGATCCTGTCTCAAAAGAACAAACGAAAAAACTGACCTGGAAGACCCTTCACCGTTTATTCTTACCTCTGTTCCAGTTTTTACATATTATGCTTTAAAATATCAACCTCTGTCAAGCTGTTGCTAGAGTGATTAATACTCTATATGTTTGGTGGTGCTTTCAATTGGAGGTGACTTTGAGCATCTGAAAGCAAAATTTTCAATTGATGATCTGTATCTGAACGAGGTTATTGTTAGCAGTTCAGTTTTAATTTTAGTGACACCCTAGCATAGCCGGTGGTATTCCATTCTTTTCATAATTGGTCCAGTTAGAAATTATTTTTAAAATAGAAATAACTACTTTCTAGGTAAAATTCTTGGTGAATCCTTTGTCCCAGTTGCATAGGTGTACTTAAGAACTGTGGAATTTTGGTGGCTGTCCTGTATTTTTAAATGTCTAATGCATCTCAATGAAGTACTGCTGTTACTCAGAATAAATTTTATGTAATGCTCCATGGCTTATAGTGATACTAGGATAGTTGCATATTTTTTATAGCACCTTATGAGGGGGTTGTTATAGTTGAGGTGATTTGAGAATCAGATCATTTACTAAGATTGTATATCCAGCTACTAGATGTTCTGGCTAAAATTCAAACCTAGTATTCCGACTTAAGAGCTTGAGTTCTTTCTACCATACCATATTGCATCTATTTTAGTGCTTACTAGAATAAATTTAACATTCTCATTTATTTTGTGTACTGGGTCCTCATACCAGTGCTAGTTTATGTAATTCCTTTTTTCTGCACCTAAGAGAAACATTTTTATTTCATTTATAGTACCATGTTGTTGTTTTTTCGATTTTGTAAATTTTTTCTTGCTACCTTAATGTGTAAATAAATTAAAACATTAACTTATCTCCCCTGATCTGTTTGTCTTTCCTAACTTTATATAGACATTCCCTCAGTATACAAGGGGGATTGGTTACTGAACCCCTTCAGATAATCTGTGCATGTCCTCTATACGCTTAGAAGTCATCCCTAAACTATACATAATACAACGTAAGTGCTTGTGAACAATTGCTTTGCTGTTGTTTAGGGAGTAGTGACACAAAAAAATCTGTACATGTTTGGTCTGAATGCCGTTTTTTCCGAATACTTCTAACCCTTAGACCTCAAACCCAAAAATGCAAAACTCACAGATAGAGCCAACAGTACCTCTTTATGGAAAGTTTTTCTTGCATTATAACATTTGTTTGTTTTAAAGGGAGAAAGATCAATCTAAGGAAAAGGAGAAGAAAGTGAAAAAAACGATACCTTCCTGGGCTACTCTTTCTGCCAGCCAGCTAGCCAGGGCCCAGAAACAAACACCAATGGCTTCCTCACCACGTCCCAAGATGGATGCAATTCTAACTGAGGCCATTAAGGCAAGTTTTTATTTCAGGCAATTTTCTTGGATGTATTATGTTCATCTTTTGCTTGTTTGAAAGTGTCATTCTCTGTCCAGATACCAGAAATCTTACGTTGCTTCCTAAAGGAAATTTAGAAGAAGCCCTGTAAGGTACATGTTTTTCTAATCCAATCACATTTGGCTACCACTGTTGTTTTTTAAAATTCATATTCACTATAGTAAGTTTTTATTTTAATTTTTATTAGGGGCCAGGAATTTAGCTCAGTGACACCACACCTGCCTCACAAGCACAAGGTCCTGAGTTCAATCCCCAGTACCATTTAAAAAGATTGTGTATGTTTTCAATACATAATAATTAATTTTATCGTGGGTGATTGGTACATGTACATAATGTATCTTAATATTTTTTACTTCTGCCCTTGCCTCCCTCCATCTCTTAGTACCCTTTCCATTTGTAAAAGGTCTAACTCTTGTTTCCTATTACCTATCAACTTGATTCATTACAGAGTTTTTACTTGAAGGCTGAAAATGTTTATTCAACAAACATTTAATACCTGCTTTAAAATAAAAACTAAAAAAGTTGGGGGCATAGTTCAATGCAAGACTCTGGGTTCCAGACCCAGTACGAGGGGATGGAGAGACCTTTCTTAAAGTTGGGCATAGTGGTATGTTGTCTAAACTACTGAGGCTGATCCCAGGGATTTGAGGTAACAGTGAGACCTTGTCTCCGAAAACAGAACAAAATAAAAATAACCCAGTGGCTGTGGTGGCACATTACTGTAATCCCAGCAGTCTGGGAGGCTGAGGCAAAAGGATCGCAAATTTGAGCCCAGCCTGGGCAATTTCATTAAGATGCTTCTCAATTTAAAAGGGTTGGGCAAAGTAGCTCAGTGTGAAAACCTTAAGTTCAGTTCCCCAGTACCACAAAAAACAAACTTTGTCTAGATAGCTTGGCTATAATGAGGTCTCTGTTCTTTATATAGCCTTTCCTCAAGGATTTTTCACGAGCATTCAGCCTAGGTTTGAAGGAACAGGGTTGAGAATGAAGGAAGGGACTTAAATTTTAAAACAGTAGAACAGAAACTTACAGCAATAAAAATTTGGCCTGTACTGAACAAAGTATTTGTACAAATCATGTAATTATAAAATATAATGGTCCATGCACTATTAACAAATTATTTTTTAGACCACTGATAACCATTTTTCATGTGAAAGAAAAGTCCTGATGTCTATTTCTGTCTCATTACCAGTTTGGCTGAGCAAAGGATTGCTTGATTTTGCTTTGCTTTGTGTTTTCTCAGCATCAGAAATAAACTTCAGTATGTTAATCGCTCAGAGACATTCACTTATCTTAAGTAGTATGTATTAACAACTTGTTTTAGGTTGTACCTTCTTTTCTGGTCCATCTGCCTGTGAGTTACTGTATTTCCTTGTCTCTGTATAACGTAACATAAAAGTGAGTGAGTATGTTCAGTTTATAGACAGTAGCATCCCAAAACTGATGGACTAGCCCATTAAGTAAATAGCAGATAATACTTCTGTGTTTCAAAATTTAAAACATTTGAAAAAAATTAAACGTTTTCTGCCTTTGTGGCATAATGAGATACTTAATTCTTCTCTGGCCTTTGGACAAATGGAGTAGAATACCTTATTTCTCAAAACTCCCCTTAAAACTTTTCCATCTAGGGCCAGGGATTTAGCTCAGTGGTGCTGCTGCCTGCCTCAGAAGCACAAATTCCCAAGTTCAATCCCTGCTACCAAAAAAAAAAAAAAAAAAAACCCA